GGCGACCGCGGCGGCGACCGTGGCGGCGACCGCAACGGCTGGCGCGGCGGCGACCGGCGCGGCGGCGACCGCGGCGGCTACGACGACCGGCGTGGCGGCGACCGCGGCTACGACCGTGGCGGCTACGGCGGCGACCGGCGTGGCGGCGACCGGCGTGGCGGCGACCGCGGCTACGGTGGCGACCGGCGTGGCGGCGACCGCGGCTACGACCGCGGCTACGACCGGCGCGGTGGTGACCGCGGCTATGACCGTGGCAACCGGCGCGGTGGCGATCGCGACTTTGACCGGCGCGGTGGCGACCGCGGTGATGACCGCGGCGACGACCGCGCGGCGGCTCCGGCTCCGGCTCCGGCGCCGGCTGCCTCGTCCGAGGCTGACGCACCCGAGGCTCGCGACGAGCCGCGGCGTGGTGGCGGCGGCGGGCGCTGGTCCAACGACGACCGGCGCGGCGGCAACCGCGGCGGGAACGACCGTGGCGACGACGACCGGCGCGGTGGCAACCGCGGCGACGACGACCGCGACCCCGAGCGGGCCGGGTCGAACGGCGGCGTCGGCGGCGGCATGCTCCGCCGCAACATCCGGCTGGAAAAGGAGCTTTTCCCCAAGTCTTTTGAGGATGGCCCCAAGACAGTCTCGACAGCTGCCATCGACTTTGACGTCTACGAGTCGGTGCCTGTCGACGTGACCGGGCCGAACCTGCCCAAGGGCCCGCGCGACGGCATCACCTTTGCCGAGTTTGTTCTCGCCGACTGCATCCGCAACTCGGTCGAGCTCTCCGGGTACAAGCGGCCGACGCCGGTCCAGAAGTGGTCGCTCACCATGTCGGGCTGCGTCCCGTACCTCTCCGAGTACCAGGCAGTGGTGGCGTCGGCGCTCAACTCTCAAGACACCGACGACGCGCTCGCCATCACGGTTGACTCGTGGATGCAGGTCAAGCAGGACGAGCTCCGTGATATCATGGCGTGTGCCCAGACCGGTTCCGGTAAGACGGCTGCGTTCCTCATCCCCATTCTCAACTCGCTCATTTTCAACGAGCACCGGTTCCAGCCGCCGTCGCGTGGCAAGGGCCGGTTCAAGCGCCGCGCGTACCCGCGGGCCCTTGTCCTTGCGCCTGTTCGTGAGCTTGCCTCGCAGATCCACATCGAGGCTCGCAAGCTGACGTACCGCTCGCGGCTCCGCGCCTGCGTCGTCTACGGTGGCGCGCCTATTGGCCAGCAGCTGCGCGAGCTCGAGCGCGGCGCCGACATTGTCATCGCCACGCCCGGACGCCTCATCGACGTCGTCGACCGCGGCTCGATGTCTGTCTCGTCGATCCAGTTCCTGGTCATGGATGAAGCTGACCGCATGCTCGACATGGGTTTCGAGCCGCAGATCCGCTCGATCATCGAGGACTTTGACATGCCCATCGACAACCGCCAGACCTTCCTCTTCTCCGCCACCTTCCCGGCCGAGATCCAGCAGCTGGCGCAGGACTTCCTCCAGCAGGACTACGTCTTTATCCGCGTCGGTGAGGTAGGTGCCTCGGCCGCCCTTGTCGAGCAGCGCGTCATGCGTGTTCCGCAGCGCGAGAAGCACGAGATCCTCCTCGACCTCCTCGGATCGGTCCCGGGCCTTACCCTTGTCTTTGTTGAGACCAAGCGCTCGGCCGACTCGCTTGAGCAGTTCCTCTACGACCAGGGCTTCCGCGCCACCACCATCCACGGTGACCGCTCGCAGGACGAGCGCGAGGAGGCGCTCCGCACCTTCCGCGAGGGCATCACCCCGATTCTCGTCGCCACCGACGTCGTTGCCCGTGGCCTCGACATCCCCAACGTGACCCACGTCGTCAACTTTGACCTCCCGTCCCACATCGACGACTACGTCCACCGCATCGGCCGTACCGGCCGTGCCGGTAAGAAGGGCCTCTCCACCTCGTTCTTCTGCGACTCGAACTACAACATCGTCAAGGACCTCGTCAAGAAGCTCGAGGAGCACCCCGACCTTAACGACATCCCGCGCTGGCTCGTCGACGCTGCCTACAACGTCCGCAAGAGTGACCGCAGCAACGGCCGCGGTGGCCGAGGCGGCGATCGTGGTGGTGGCGACATCCGCCGTCGCCAGGGTGGCGGTGGTGGCGGCGGTGGCCGCAACGGCGGTGGTGGCCGCGGCGGTCGCAACGGTGGCGGTCGCGGCGGCGGCGGCGGCGGCGGCGGCCTCTCGGCGGCCTTTGAGGCCCGTCACGGCGGCATCAACCTTCTCGATGCCGCCAACCAGTCGCTCGGCGGTGGCGGCGGCGGCGGCGGCGGTGGCGGCAGCCGCCGCAAGAGCTCCAACAAGAGCTCCAACAAGGGCGGCGGCGGTGGTGGCAACGCATCGTGGTGGTAACCTCGTCATGGTCTTGCTTTTCCCCTCTCTTCTGCCATCTCTCCATGCAGTATTTTCATTGAACGCAACCCTCAGCGTTAACACACATTGTTTCTTTGTGCCGTCTCGTTGCATCGTTGCACTGCAGTGCTGACTACTGCTGCTTGCGGCGTCTGCCGCGACCGCCACCGCGCCCACCGCCTCCGCGCCTACCGCCACCGCCGCCGCCACGCCCGCCACCGCCACCACGCCCGTTCCGCGCCGCCACCGTCACACCGATCCCGTCATCGCTGCCAAGCGGTGCCATCTGAAGACGTGCAGGCTTGCGCAGTGGCCGATGGCCAGGCGGAAGCGGCGGCGCCTGGAAGTAGACCGACGAGACTGAGGTCGGCGTCGGTGGCTCGGTCTTCATCAGCCAAATCGCCGTCACCTCGCCAAAGACAAACAAGCGACGAAGTGCAGCAAAGTCAGCAGGAGCGTCGCGAGCGTAGCAAGTCGCCTCCAGCTCCGCGAGCTCGACGAGCACTCGAGCGAGGTCGAGCTTGGCCCCACGCGGCGCCCGCGCGTACAGGTCGGCCAGCGGCGAGTCAGCTTCCATGAGAGCCCGCAGCGGGCCAGGTAGCACATCGCGGGCCGCGTACGGCAGCAGCGCCATGAGACAGGCTGCCGGAGCTAATGGGGGCGTTGCTGACGTCGGCACCCGCACGTACGTCGCCAGTGTCTCCGGCTGCGTCACCAGAACGTTGGCGAGACTCAGTACCGTGGGCGCCCGGTTGGCAGTGTAGGCAAACCCGTAGTCTGGCACAATCCCGGTCCGGTACGTCTGCAGCGTCCACAGAACACCAGAGAAGTACGCCACAAGCGGTCCAGCCTCGCCACTGAGCTTGGGAAGCGACGACGCGTCGACCGCAAGGCCACCCTCATCATCATCATCATCATCATCATCATCATCATCGTTGTCGTCGTCGTCGTCGTACTCCGAGTCGTCGCCGTCGCTGTTAACACCAGTCGTGTCCATCTCGTCCTCGGTTTCGACGTCGGTCTCGGTGACCTCGCCACCGTTGTCATCGTCGATGTCATCGTTTCCGCCGGTTGCCGCAACGTCGGCCCGCGCCGCCGCCACGGAGTTGAGCGATTCGGTGATGTGCCGTACGTTGCGAGCGCACCGCGAGAGGACGCCAACCAGCGCTTTCCAATGAAACGAAAGTGACGTCAGGTCGACAATGCCGGGGAACGAGCCGTTCTGCCAGAGCTTCTCGCGCGGTGGCGGCTTGGCGCCGCCGCCCTTGCCCCTGCGGCGGCGCTGCGTGCGCTTGCGCGGCTTGTATACTGTGCCGTTGACTAGGCCGCGGTATTGCTTCCACAGTGAGTCCATGGCAGCGCCGCGGAGCTTGGGCAAGTAATCGTTGCCCATAAAGAGCGAGAGGGTGACAAAGTCGGCCACAACCTGCTCGCGCGAGAGGCCACCGGCCTGTGACACGAGCTTGGTGGCAATAGCCTCGATGTCGTAGCGAACGCCCGCCGGGCGCGGACCTTTGCGCTTCTTGCCACCTCCGCCCGAATCCTCGGCAAAGAGATGGACGTTGCGGACGCCGCACGCCAGGGTAAGCAGAATAAGGTCGGCGTCGCCGCCGACAACCAGAAACTTGGCACGGGCGTCGCCACGCGCGGCGTCGGCCACCAGCTGCCGCACGAGCTTCACCTCGCCCTCGCCGGGCACATCGGGCCCCGAGACAACAAACCGCACCCCGCGGTACTTGCTGTCACCCTGGAGCCGTGAGCATGCGTAGTAGAGCACAGCCTCGGCAAGGGTATACATAAGATCGGTACCCGGCGTGAAGAGGACCGAGTCGGTGCCCGGCTTGCGCTTCTTCTTCTTCTTCTTCCCCGCGTTGACAACCTGTGGGTGCGGCTGCGGCTGCGACTGCGGCTGCGGCTGCGGCTGCGGCTGCGGCTGCTTGCCTTTGCCGCCCTTGCGGTTCCTGCCACGGCCCTTTCTGCCCTTCATCAACGCGGCTGGAGTGAGCAGTCCCGTGGGGAGGGGCAGAGCCTCTGGCGGCGGCGGAACAGGCAGATCAGACGACGCGGTGCTCCCTGCCCGAGCACCCGAGACAAAGTCAGGGGCGTTGGCAGACTGCGACGCGGCAGGCGCATGCCCATGCGCCCCGCCGCAGCCGGCCTTCCGCGCCTCCTTGTCCTTGGCCTTGACGCGGCGAGCGCGCTGTGTGGAGAGCTTGGCCAGCGGAGCCGGGCCATCAAAGGCGATATAGACCATGGCGGAGGGCGGGAAGGTCTTGAACAGCATGTCCAGCTCGCGGAAGACCTTGAAGATCATGTCCTTGATCTTGGCCGACTTGCGCCCGGCTTGGTGGAGCAGTGAGTTCATGTCCACATAGACGTGGGTGTACCCAAGCCCTGCGCCCTGCGCCACCTCGCCATGGGCATTGGGGAACGTCTCCCGCACCCACCGCGCGAATCCTGCAATACCCATGGCCGCAACGAGGGGGGGTCGGCGGCGAGTGGAATGTGTTCTGTGCTGGTGGCGGGAGAGGGGCGGGGGGAGGGGGGGGAGGGGGGGGGGGGGAGGGAGGGAGGGGGGGGGCGGA